TACTACTACCGTTACCACTACTACTAGTGCTACAGCCGCAACAACAATATCATCAACTGCTGCTACTACAACTACTCATCCTTCCTCCCCCTCCTCCCCCTCCCTTCTCCTCCTCCCCCTCCCTATCTCTCTCATCTCCCCCTCCTCTTCCTCTTCCTCTCCCTCTGAGATGCGGGGCATGCGCAAGGCGATTGCGAAGGCGATGTGCCGTCCGAGCTATGGATGTTGAAGTTCCTCGGAAGAGGTGGTGGCCAAACCTTCTTGGGCGGGATATCTGGGTGAGGGAATATCGGATCCCGCATGCCAGAAAAATCCCCCATGATGGGGTGTGTTATCCAGATGGATGCGTGTGTCATGTGGAAGCATGGCGCATGAGGGTAAAATGATTGTTGTTGTTGTTGTTGTTGTTGTTGTTGTTGTTGTTGTAAGTCGGGGCCCATGGGCCACATTTCGTTATCCCTCACTTCCCCTGGGAGGAACACTTTACTTGAAACGTGCAATGGTTACCGGAGGGGAGGGGTCAACTATAACTACTTCTTAAGAATGAAAATCCCACAACATCAACAGCAACAAAAATGACAACAACGACGACGACGACGACACCACCACCACCACCACCAACAATAATAAATCAAAACCTCTTCGCTCTGATCCGATCGCGTGCGAGTCAACTCGTAAATCCCAACCCCTCGATACTCGCCCTCTTCGTCTTCGACCGTACCCCCTTGGCAATATATATATATATATATATATATGTATATATGTATATATATATATATATATATATATATATATATTCGCTGCCTTCCGCGCTGAGTTGGCGCAGCCCCTAAAATATGAGAAGAGAGGGAGGAGGGAAGAGACAATGGGGGAGGGAGAAGGATGGAACACGAGAGTTGTGTATGGCACGACAGAAAGACACCCTCACAGTGTTATCATTGAATTTAACATGTGTTTAAACTGCAAGAAAATATTATAAACATGTTTCGAACATGCTCGTTACATATTTAATACTTGTTTGACACATGTTTCAGACATATGGGAATTATTTGGCAACATGTTTCCTCTCCATTGATCGTCGTCCACGACACGAGAGAGATTTGCAGGAGGAGGGTTGTAAGCAGGAGCACAAACGGCAGAACCGGACAGGCGGATCGGGTGGGCGGACCCTAACGGGCAGGTCGGGAGGGCGGGCCCAGACGGCCAGGTCGCTGAAGCGTCAACCCAACACAAATCGCAAGGGAGTCTCGAGCGCTAGCGAGATTCCTGGAAATCCGAAGCGAGAGCGTGATCCCTGAATCTTGCCTGCATGGCGCCGCAACAGGTTGTGAGGGGGCACCACGCGAGCGCGCCACTCCCGCATGCGTGCTGAAAGGGTCTCGCGCGAGAGCGCGAGTTCAAATCAACTCTAAGGACATATCAAGTGGGAGAGGTTCGCCGGCCCAACGGGCCAGAGGCGTGCCAAGATCTCTCGGGTCGGGCGAAAGGGGGAGATAGCAAAGGGGGGGGTTGAGAATCAGCTCACGTAGCCGATTTTCCCGGCGCCTCCCGCCGCCGGAGGCGGCTCTGTATCGAGGAATGGGCCCCTCGCTGAGGCCGAAACCAGCTGCATGCAGCAGATTTCGCAACCCCCCCTTTCGCAATCCCCCCCTTTCGTCCGGCCCGACAAGATCTCTGGTGACCGGTTCAGAATGTTCGAGCTCGCGCGCGCGGGGCCGCCCGGGGTCCCCGGCCGAGAAGCGCCCCGGCAGGGCCCCATCCGAGGTGGCTTTTGCGCCTGGGCGCCGCCCTCGGGTCCCCCACAAAGCCCCAGGGAGGCCCCCCAGAGGCCCCCAAGATGGTCCAAGAAGCGTGCGGGACACCACAGGATCGCTCCCAAAACGCCCAAGGTGGCCCCCAGACGGCCCAAGAGCCGTCCGAGCGCACTCCCCAGAGAGGGCCCCGAAAGGCAAATTTCATAGACTTCCCGTTTTGAAACATTCTGGCATTCTTGCCTTTTTTGCTTCCCGACGCTAGAAGACGGCCTAAGACTCCAAGATCGCCCCACGACGGCCCAAGAGGCCTCCAAGCAGGCTCCAAGACGGCCCAAGAGGCCTCCAAGACAGCCTTAGACGGCCCCAAGAACGCCCCAAGAGAGGCTCCAGAGAAGGGGAACACGAGACGACATTTCAAACCCTCGGCCTTCAGATGCCCGCAGGAGGCCCCAAGAGATCCCAGCAGGCCCTGAAAAGGCCCTCGGGAGACCCAAAACGAGCCCCCAAGAGGCCTCCAAGCGACCCACGGCTTCAAGACTGCTCTCCAGGAGCTCTCCAAAGCTTTCCGAAGAGATTCAAAAACCCAAAAGCCACAAGTTTTTCTGTTCTGGCCGACCGGGCCACGCCACGGGTCGGTGGCGGGATGGGCCCAAGGCCATTAGATAAGCCTTCCACAAAGGTCTCTTGCCCTCCAGAAGCCCCGAAAGCGCTCCGAAGAGACCCGAGGAAGCACCCCTGAGGACTCTGACCCACAACATAGGCCATATCGGTGAGCAGTAGAGGTCACACCCCCCCACGACCAGCTCCAAAACAACTACTTCACCTCCATGTCTGCTACCGTCACGCCTCCCCCCCAAAAAAATCCGCCTAGCAACGCCGCATGGGCCACGACCGCGCTGGCAAGCGCCAACGATGGCACAATACGGGCCAGCAGAATGAGAGAAGCGACTCAACTGTAAGGAATCATGAAGCCAGAGCCGCTGTTGTTGTAAACTGGGGGCTCGTGGCGCAGTCAGAATACCAATACTTATCCTTATGAAAATAGGGTGTGACCCCTGGGGAAAAAAAACACTGTGCCCCAGGCAGGGGGATCAATACAAATTTAGCATGAGAGATCAACAACAGCAACTACCACCATGTTGAGACTGTCCGTCCTCATCTGCTCTCGTGCCATTCAACACGTATATCCCAAACCCGCGCTGGCCGCCCTCGTCATCTTCGATCGTAACCCCCTGGTAATATCTTCTATACCTGCCATGTGTAATTGGTACAGCCACTAGCAGAAGGGAAGAGAAGAGAGGACGGGTGGAAGGGGGATGGAGAAGGATGGAGCACGAGAGAAATTAGCAGGAGGGGGGCTAGGAGCAGAAAACACATGGCAGAACCAGACGAGCTGATCGGGCGGGAAGACCCTGACGGGTGGGTCGGGAAGGCGGGCCTAGGCTACGAGGTCGAGCAGGCGGGTCGATGAAGCGTGATTTCTGCATGAATTGCGAGGAAGTCTTGAGCGATAGCCCGATTCCCCAGAAAATCGTCAGACAAGCCAGATCGAAAGCGCGATTCCGGAGCGTCGAGGGCGTGGCGTTTGAATAAGTTGCGAGGGGGTCCCACGCGAGAGCGCGACTCCTGAATGCATTGTGAGGAAGTCCCGCGCGAGAGCGCGACTTTGAAACACTTTGTGCGGACGTATCCGGCGGGAGCTGCTGTTGATGTCATCGGGGGGCCAGGGGCACAGTCTGAGCCCCAAGACTTCCCCGTGAACAACGAAAACAAGGTGCGAGCCCAGGGAGGGCACTCCCATCGAAACACACAATGGGCACCACGAAGGGGATCAACACGAATTATCTTTCAGGAGTGCGAACTCAGCAACAACATGTTACATTCACGCGCCATGCTGCTACATGCCACATGCATCCAGCAACACACAGTGGGGCAGACAACCCGTGCCCTGTTCGGTGTAGAGAATACGCGAAGCAAATCGGCGATCTTGTGGACGGTGTTAGGGGAGAGCAGAATGAGAGTTGTATTCATGCTGTGTACTTGTGGAGGAGGAAGTTGCTCTGCAGAACAAGATGAAACCAGCATGACCCCAATCAGAGGACAACTTCTTATTGCATGGGCGCAGTGCTTTGCATTGCTTGCCTTTGCTTGGCGCTGCTGTGCACGGCTTGGTATTGAGCTCCTTGCTTGGCATTGCTTGGCGTTGCTTGGCGTTGCTTGGAAATGCTTGGCGTTACTTGGCACCGGGACGAAGCAACTCCAGGGAAGGCTAACCACTGTCAGGAAACAAGAGCAAGCAAACCCGGAGGAATGCCACTGTGAGATAACAAAACCAAACTGTGGAACGCCGGCCGGCGCAAACATCGCACCCACGGGGAATTGCTCAGGCAAGCCTAACTTGGGGACAGCCTGGGAAACGTCGCGCGCATGGAGTGAGCCACGTGATCTGGCGCTCTCTGGGAAACTGTGGGCAACACTGGAGCATGTCTCATCAGGAAGCAGAGGACGAAAAGCGAAGGATCGTAAGATTATGATGATAATGATCATACTGATGATGCTGATGACGATGACGAATCTGATGATTATGATGATGATGATGATGAAGATGATGATGATGATGATGATGATGATGATGATGATGATGATGATGCTAATGATGGTGATGGTGATGATGATGGTGATGGTGGTGATGATGATGGTGCTGGTGGTGGTGATGATGGTGATGTTGATGTTGATGATGATGCTGATGGTGATAATGTTGATGATGATGGTGATGATGATGATGATGGTGCTGGTGATGATGATGCTGATGCTGATGATGATGCTGATGATGATGAAGATGATGATGATGATGGTCATGGTGACGGTGCGGCGAAGGAGGAGAAGAGCAAGAAGAAGCATAACCATCCTACTACTAATACCACTTGTGTTGCTACTTCTACCTCTACTTCTACTCCCACTTCTACGACTACTACCAATAATAATGGAACTCCTATTAACTTCAAGCAGTTTTACTACTACGAATCAGAATAACAAACATATTAACAAGAAACATGGTAATAATGAGAAGAGGTATAATGAAACGAAACATAAGAAGAAGAAGGAACACAATAATAATAAGAATAAGAATAATACTGATAATAATAATAATAATAAGAATAAGAGGAAAAGAGGGGAGGGACGAGGAGGTGCCCACAAAAGATGTTGACCTCGCAGCCGCGCCGCCAGCCGCCGGTCTCCCCGCTCCTGGACGAACATGGTCAGTTCGAGCACCAGGGTTCGCTCGGGCAGCCCCCTGGCCTGTGCCTCCGCCTGAAGCGGACGGGGGATGAGGGGTGAAGGGGGGATGGCCCATGGGTGTGCAGGGAGGGGGGAAGGTGGTTGATGATGAGGGGGAGGGGAGGAGGAGGGAGGGGAGGTGGGGGTGGGAGGGGGAGAGCTGGCTGGTCGCCCGGAGGCAGACCCGAGCCTCGTGGACGGCCTCCGGGCTGCATCACCCCAACGCCCTGCCGAGGGAGGAGGGGGCGGGTCACGGGAGGGAGACCCCACCTGCCAGTGCACATCCCTCACCTCTCGACGACAGGGCGCTGGGCATGATGGGGCCAGAGGCAGGGCGCAAAAAGGATCCTCCCCTGGAAACTCCCGAGGGCAACTGCCACGGAAGGCATCCCTCTAGCGAGAGAAGACGAGGAGTGAGAGACAGAGAGAAAGAGGGAGAGAGAGAGAGAGAGAGACACCTCCTCCGTCTCCCCCCTTTTCCTCCTCCTCCTCCTCCTCCTCCTCCTCCTCCTCCTTCTCCTCCTCCTCCTCCTCCTCCTCCTCCGCCTCCT